CCAACGAACAAAGCAAAGTGCTCAAAAGATTCTGAGATTCTGTTAAGAGTTGTAATTAAATGACGCTATAATATAAGTAACAGTGTCAATAGATTCACCTTGCTTCCGTCCATCTTCAGAAGCAGTGTCCATCCTTTGGATCCACAGATGGAATCCATGTAACAGTACGCCTGGAAGGTCTTGTCATCTGCGGTAAGGTAGTACACACCACTCTTTGCATCACTAAGAACAAACAGACCAAAATTATTAGGAGAAATGAGTAAGTTATTCTCCTAATGTCTTATCCAGAGCAGACCGAAACTGACCTAYTTAGGAAAACGAAGTCCTTATTCGTTGATTGTACTGCTTTACTTGAGCGTGGTCATGTTGGTGTTAGAGCGGATGCAATTAAACCGTGAAATAAAATCAAACTAATAATGAGACATTAACACCTAGTAGCGGTATTTCTTGTCTACTGGACAAGCCTAGGTTAATTTACATCAAACCTTCACCGATTCCACCATCATTATGTACATCGAAACCWATTGACTTTGGTTTACTTAATACGAGGTCTGTCTGCAATAAGTCTTTGCTTGTGAAGGATTTTGTGGTTGATAACGACATTGACTTGCTGGCGATGACTGAGACCTGGTTGAGCAACGATGATCAAGACGTACATATCATATCGGAAGTTTGTCCAACTGGGTATCAGTTGATCAATGTACCAAGAGGTTCAAGAGGTGGTGGTGTARCGCTCTTATTCAAGAACTTGCTAAAGGTCCAGAGTCAGCCTACTATTAGAAGAAAATTCAAATCTTTTGAATTTACTGACCCGTTAGTAAGACATTTGTCTACGAGTTTGAGAGTTATTATTGTATACCGCCCACCTCCCACTAGCGTTAACCAATCTTCTCTTACATTGTTCTTTGATGGATTTCCTATTCTTTTGGAGCATCTGGCCATTGCATCGGGATCCCTTCTCCTGGTTGGTGATTTTAACCTCCACGTTGATGATGCCTGTGATTCTATAGCTGCGCGATTTCTTCATCTCCTGGAATTGTTCAATTTCAAACAACATGTGACTGAATCAACTCACAAGAACGGTAATACTCTTGATTTGATCATCACTAGGGCTGATGAGTCGAGTATTAGCAATGTTAGAGTGGTTGATCCTTGTATTTCAGACCATTATGTAGTTGGATGTACTATTGCCTTATCTAAGACCGCCTTTGAGAGAAAAGAGGTCCATTATCGCAAGTTAAAATGTGTTGACATACAACAATTCCGTGATGACATTGCCAGTTCATCTCTAGTTGATTCTAGCAGTCAACAAGATGTCACTTCAGCTGTGATCTTCTATAATTCTGTCTTGACTGACATACTTGATGAGCATGCACCTGTAAAGAAACGAGTCTTGACCCTACGCCCTAACGCTGCTTGGTATACTGAAGATATACGAGAGGAGAAGATCAAACGCAGAAAGCTTGAACGTCGCTGGAGAGCGTCTCTACTCACCGTGGATCGCCAACTGTATGTTGATCAATGCAAACATGTCAACAAGTGTGTTCATGAAGCTAAAATGGCATACTACTCTGGCGTTATTTCTGACAATCAATCAGATCCACATAAATTATTTTCTACAGTTAWCAAATTGTTACATCGTAATGATTGTATGCGTCTACCAACTTCAGACAATGCTGCATCTTTGGCAACTRCATTTGCTGACTACTTTACAGAAAAGATAACTTTGATAAAAGATAGCCTTCACACAAAAATAGCTGCGTTGAATGATGCTGATTCTGTGCTTGATAACAGTTATCATTGTGACTCTTGCTTTACTGAGTTTAAGCCTGTATCAGCTCAAGAACTCTCTACTCTACTTGGTCCTTCTGGCCTTAAATCCTGTTCTCTTGATCCACTTCCTAGTTCGCTTCTGAATAAGTGCATTGACTTGTTGACTCCTTTCATTACTAACATTGTCACCATTTCCTTGGAGCATCATACCGTTCCTGACAAGATGAAGGAAGCCCTTGTTAGACCTGTTCTCAAGAAGTCATCTCTGGACCATGAGCTGTTAAAGAACTATCGACCCATCTCAAATTTACCATTTATCACTAAATGCTGTGAAAAAGTTGTTGCTCGTCAATTGAATCAGTATCTTAATGCCAATCATCTGAATGAACCTTTTCAGTCAGCTTATAAATGCTTTCATAGTACTGAAACAGCCTTAGTCAGAGTTCAGAATGACATTTTGCGATCTATAGATGAAGACTACTGTTTCTACTTTTGGACTTGTCGGCTGCCTTCGWCACCGTTGATCACCAAATACTCTTGGGACGTCTTTCAAACTGCTTTGGAATCAGCAGTAAGGCCCTCGCTTGGTTCAAGTCATATCTCCATAATCGCACACAGTTTGTCAACATTGAAGGGAGCCGGTCGTTAAGTCGTCCTCTGAGCTGTGGAGTACCACAGGTTCGGTGCTCGGACCTATCCTTTACCTGCTTTATGTATCTCAAATTGGAGACAATGCGTCGTCATTGTGTATCGTACCATCTCTATGCCGACGACACGCAAATCTATRTCTCATTCAAGTCAACAGTTATGGGTGACCTACGGAAGGCTCGCACTATAGATTGGAAGCATGCCTTGCTGACATTGACCACTGGATGCTGCTCAATAACCTCAAGCTGAACCAAGATAAATCAGAACTGCTGGTTGTTCATGCAAAACATCGTCCAGCTCCGTTGTTGGAATCTGTTCAAGTTGGTAACTCAAGCGTTGTTCCTTCTGACTTTGCTCGTAATATCGGAGTTGTTTTTGATAGTACATTTGCTTTAGATAAACATGCAACTGAGTTGTGTAAATCTGCATTCTTATGACACAACAAAAGTTATGACACAACAAAGGTGCTCGTTCATGCTTTTGTTACTTCTCGTTTAGATAATTGCAACTCACTCTCGTATGGATTACCTAAGTATTTAACTAAGCATGTACAGTATGTATTTAATTGTGCTGCCAGATTAGTTACACTTTCACGTAAGTGCGATCATATCACTCTTTTACTGATTGAATTACATTGGTTGCCTGTAGAGCAACGTATTATTTTTAAGATTTTGTTGATTACATATAAGGCTCTTAATGGTTTAGCACCAGGCTATATAGTTGATTACTGAAACCTTATGTTCCACGTCGTACATTAAGATCATCATCTAAGCTAAKGTTAGTCGAGCCTTCATACCATCTTAAGACATATGGCTTTAGAGCTTTTTCTGTCTGTGCTCCGAGGTTGTGGAGTTTGATAATGATGTCCATTAAACAATAGCCATTCTGCCCGATGAGTATTCCATTAGAAATTAAACAAAGTGATTCATGTAATAGCTTTAAAAGTAAGCTTAAGGCTTACCTTTTCAGAATGGCCTTTTATTAGTCCTAGAAGTTTATCAGACTTGTCTTTTCCTTTTAGGTTATATTAGATCTGATAACTGTTATGAGAACATTTAGTCATCTCTCTCTCTCTCTCTCTCTCTCTCTCTCT